TTCTGCGTAGGGAATGGGGGAATGGATCCCTATGATAGTCCCCTTAAGGTCCCCTATAAGTAGTCCCAATAACCCCTATACCCTAAACCTTAAACCTTAAACCCTAAACCCTAACCCATTCCCTACTAAGAACCAGAGAGTCACGGCTTGCAGGGCATCCTCGGACTGAAAGCCCGCCGGAAGACTGGGCCCCGTCTTGCTGCCATAGCCTGGGTTCTTGTTGAGGGGAGTTTATTTAAGGATTTTGGGAGTTGATTTAGGAATTTAGGGATTTAGGGGTTTAGGGTTTAGGGTTTAGGGGTTTAGGGGTTAGGGATTTAATTCAAGTTACCATCATAATGAAACCATATTGTCTACCATAGATCCCTTTTATACAAAAACCCCTTAACAAGAGCCCAGTAGCCGGTCAACGAAGGTTGCCAGTGGTTCGAGCCCGGAAGGAAGCGCGTGGCGCCGTTCTCGGCCGTGAAGTCCGAGGCGGCCCACATCACCTCTCTGGTTCTTGTTTAGGGTTTATAGGGTTTAGGGTTTAGGGTTTAAGGGTTTTGGGTTTAGGGTTTAAGGGTTTAGGGTTTAAGGGTTTAGGGGTTTAAGGGTTTAGGCAACAGCTCTCTGGTTCTTAGTAGGGAATGGGGGGAAGGGGCTATTGGGACTACTATAGGGGACCTTTTTATTGGGACAATAACCCATTCCCCCATTCCCTAAACCCATAAACCCCTAAACCCTAAACCCTAAACCCTAAACCCCATTCCGTACTAAGAACCAGAGAGTCACCGAGATGGAGAGCTCCGGCCGGGAGGACTCAAAGGGCCAGCCGGAGGCCCCCCACATGCTTCCTGGTTCCCAATTGGGGCCATATCAAAAATGATCATTTTTAGTCCTTATTAGGGTTTCATTGTTACAAAGATGTAAAACTCATATTAAAAATGATCATTTTTAGTCCTTATTAGGTTGTTTTTATAACACACAAAATAGATCATTTTTAGTCCCTATTAGGGTTTTATTATAACAAAAATTTAAAATTGTAGCCAACAAGGACCCAGCTTCCGTCGCGGTGGAGCACCTGTGCGGGAGCAGGGGGCTCACCGTCGGGTGGGGCCTCCACGGAGATGGCAGAGCAGGTGCCCAAAATGACTCGTTTGCACCAGGGCTTCAACAATTTCTCCACCGCGGAGAGCACCAGAGGCTGCAGGGCCAGTTCCTGTGCGACCTTTGACTCGCCCAGTGGCTTGCAAGCATTCCTCAAGGTATGGTGGCCCGCGAAGGAGCCCACGGCCCCGTGAAACTTGCCCTGCGCGGACGCAAGCTCCTCCACCATGGAATCCATGAGCGCCTCGGGGATAAGCCTCTCGATGACAACAACGCCTCTGGCCATGACAGCCCGGGCCACATCCTCCGGACTGGCAGTGGCAGGCAGCCTAGGAATGTCCAGGACTTTTGCACCCCGCCGTCGCCGGAGACGATACAACAAGAGCAGACCGAAGCTTGTCAGAGTCGCTGGAACGAGCAGCCGGATCATGGCTTGGGCTTGAAGTGCTCTACGAACCCACAAAAGATAGACTTGACTACCCTGCCTCCACTAACGCATGCAAAATTATCTGACTCCGTCGACCACATGTAGGCATCCCACTGAAACTCAGATCAAAAAGGACCGGCGAGAGCAACCGCGCATGTACGAGCAGTCCCTAGTCTACCTTGATAAATCTGAACCTGACAGCTTCCTTCTTCGATGCGATTCGCGGCCTCTGACGGAATGCGGCCACGCGAGGAGTGTCTACCTGACAACTAGCAGATCCAGTCAAAAGCCCGGTTTCCCCGACTCCCATGTCTGCACCCAGACTGCCTCATCGGAGTCTGTAAACTGTATGCATTGCAAACTCAAGGACAACTCCACTCTTCCTGAACATCTTAGCCTTTTCCAGCTCCGCGTGATGGCTTGAATGGGATGACGATCGCAGGCGTGTTTGTTGGCACTGCAGTGCGCTCTAAGTCTAGAGCCTAGACTTCGGCCAAAGCATGTGGGGTAACTTGGGGGCCTTGATAAGAGTAGGGCGAAGAGGGTCTCCGTGTATGCAATTCCCATAGGCTCCTAAGTAGTTCCTTTTTGGGATTACCTTATAGAATTCTAAATATGAACCACAAAAAGGAACTACTTCGGAGCCTATGGGTAGTATAACGATATCGAGGTACGTGTTTTGGGTGACTCCCCATGAAAACCGCCGCCACAGGCCTCGAACCACATGGCCCCAGGAGGCCCCAGGCGCAAGGCCCGGGTGTCGCAGCCCACCGCAAGCTGGACAACCTGGCTCCATACCCGGCTGAATAGTCAGAATACGGTTCTATTTTCGGTGCATATCGTGTATAAATAAAGTTCATAGGGGTTGTGCGGAATACGACTACCATTTATGCAGCCTTAGATTTATTCGAACCTTTGGCTCTGGTCGCCGCTGTCTTGTCAGAAGACAAGCGACGAACTTTGACTTTGAAAGAGACCAAGGGTCCTGTGGTCGGCGTGAGGCTACACATTAGACATGCTGCTTCACATTGGTTCAGCACCAGAACTGCTGAAATCTTGGACACTTGGAAAAGGCTCTTCGCCACAACGTCGGCCACGTAAACCTGACGCGACTCGCGGCGCCTGAGAAGTGGAGTGTCTGCGCAGCCATGCATCCAGCGCCTCCGGAACAATTTTTAGGGTTTAGGGTTTAGGTTGTTGTCAGCTTTGGTGGTTTGGGCTGCAGACCTATGGCATGCCGGATTGCAAGCGTGGTTTGAGCAAACGCTGTGTTTCTAGCCTGTCGAGTCACTAGCCAATCGGTACACTGAAGAATACCCTGAACCCTCAACCCTCAAACCGTTAAAAACTGCGTGCAGCTGCTTCGGCCTCGTCAATGATCCACCCTCGGAGCGACACGAGGTACTGAAGGCCTTGGTCTCTTTTGCTTTCAGATCTTGACAACGGGCATTCACATGTCACGTCCCTTTGAGATCTGAATGCCACCCATGCCAATACCAACACCACTAACGTTATCATATGGAGGACGTCGTCGTTAGAATAGCGTGTTGGGGTAGCGCTAAACACCCTTACAGAGCCCGGCCTTATTGGAAGGCACGACTATTGGTTGTTCTGCCAGCCTTACTACTTGTTAAAAATCCCTAGTCTAGAAAGCCCTTTCAAAATCCTCAACCCTCAACCCACAACCCTAAACCCTAACCCCTAACCCCTAAACCCCTAAACCGCTAAACCCTAAACCCTAAACCTCCTATATGACATAAAGCTGACCCTAAACCCTAAACCCCAAACCCTAAACCCCTAAACCCTAAACCCCAAATCTCGTGTATGACATAAAAGCTGCCCTCGCAAAGCCATGGTAAACCCCCGGGCCAAGCCGAAAGTCTCGGAGCAAAAGTCGCTCCGCGGAGCTTGGCCGCCTGGACCCATGGCACAGTCTCTAGAAGTTCAGGGTTTAGGGAGTTCAGGGTTTAGGGTTTAGGGAGTTCAGGGTTTAGGGTTCAGGGTTTGGGGCTTTAGGGTTTTAGGAAGTTCAGGGTTTAGGGTTTAGGGCTTTAGGAAGTTCAGGGTTTCTTGTTTTTGTGCTTGGAACCCTCGTTTCTCTCGCCCGGGTCTGGGTTAGGAATGCCAAGTTTGGCTCTGGGGTGATTTCAGGGCTTAGGGTTTTTAGGATTTCGGTCCGTGCTTGAAGGGTATTAAGGAGTTACCATAAACGCTCCTATAAGGGCTTAGACGGTTTGGAGCTGCTTTTTGAAGGCTCTTTCCTCCCTGCTAAGTCGGAACACCACTACGGTGGAGCCACTTGGCCCGGATGGAGTCTCAGGCTCAGGGTTCGTGCGCTGATACGGGTGATGATACAACTCCTGCATTGCCCCATAAGAAGGTATAGACCATAAGTCCCATCGTTTAGGATTTCTATCATCAACAGTATGTTGCTCTCCGAAAACTCCACAGAAAGGGGCCTCGGCATCTTAGGGAAAGCCCAGAGGAAAGTCTGCGAAATCGGCCAGGAGCGCTTGATGCTCGAGGCATGCCGGCCTCGTCGCCCAGTGCCGCCTCCAGCTAGGGACCCACAGTTTTAGGGTTTAGAGTTTAGGGTTTAGGGGGTTGGAAACTTCGGGCTTTGGATTGAAGGTCTCGTTGCGATGCAAAAGTCTCAACAAGAAGCTAGCAAGATTACAGCTGTTGTCCGGGGAGGCTCCTGTACGCACAAGGTTCCTGGTCAAAGGGAGCTTGCTTGTGGGATATGCAAGAAGATGCATGAAGTATTTTCTTGTGCTGCAAAAGGGTCATTTCTTGTGCTTCAAAGGGTCATAAACCGAATCAACTCGGTCAAATACGAGAATGCTTCAACCCTAAAAATCCCTGAAGACCAAAAAACAGCTCCAAGACACCCTAAAACTAAGCCAGAAATCCTAAAGGCCGCGAACTTCCGCACTGCACATCCGGCCTCGGCCAAAGCCGCTGCAAGGGGATCCCGGATGAGAGGCGAGGCGGCCGCGGACTCCTGGAGCTTCGGAAAACACGGGGTGACCTGCAGGAAACGCGAGGCCTCCGACATGCCTCACAACCATGATGTATAATATTATAATATATAGCATGTATATACTACAATGTGTGTGTGTGTGTATTCATAAATATTCATTATATATATATATGATATATATATATATGTATATATATGTATATATATATGTATATATATGTATATATATATATATACATATTCTGAACTGCCCCACAGGCAGTGTCACCAAACCCCCCATAAAGCCGGATCTTTCTACTCGGGGGTCCATGGCGCGCCAGAGTGCGCACAGCGCTGCAGATCGCTCCACCCCACGCAGGGCTGCAGCACTGCCATGCGCCATGCGAAGCGAAAGCGCCACTACCATCGGCCCATCATAAGCCCTAAACCCTAAACCCTATAAACCCTATAAACCCTATACACCCTATAAACCCTATAAACCCTATAAGCCCTATAAACCCTAAAAACCCTAAAACCCTAAACCCTAAAACCCTAAACACTCAAACCCTAAACCCTAAAACCCTAAACCCTAGACCCGAAAGCCCTAGTAAACGGGTTACTACACGTCTTGAGGACTCAGGGCTTCTA